AACAAAATATATATATATATTTTGATTAAAAAATTATGTTAAAATATTATTTAGTAAATAAAATTTTATTATAAAAAATAAATTAATTAATAAATCTTTATATAAATCTGTTTTTAATGTTTAACAATAACAGCAACAACGTAAGGAATCTTACCCAAAAACTGATTTAAAAAATAGAATTTTTTTAAATATAATTTCTAATAAAATAGAATTAAAATTTAAAAAATAAAACAATTAAAATATTTTTCTAAAAATATTAGCAAAAGAATATAAAAAAAAATCATAATTTAAGTCGTAACTTAATGATAAACTCTTGTAATTTAAAGACTTTAATTATTGCTTTAAAAGCCTTTAAAATATTATTTTAAAGTTAAATTAATGAAAAAATTATATAGTTATGAAATTAAATTGTTATAAGTTAAAAACTTTAAAAGTTTTAAGTTAAATCGTAATTTATATCATTTTTATCCTTCGTCAATGGATGAGAAAACTGCAACAGAGCATTAAAATGTAGAAGAATATAAAGGAAAATGTACTGTACTTAAATTGTTAATAAATTTTAAAATAAATAAGTTATAATAAAAATATATATTTATACCGAGAAGTTTTGTCTACTTGAAACTTCCTAAAATGGCTAAGAAAGAGAGGATGGATAAGCTACACAGATTAAAATTGTTTTTTTGCGATTTTTTTTGATATTTTTAACCTATATTTTGTCTTAAATACAATAAATTTAGATATTTTTCATATTTATATATATATATAATCAATAATTTTTTCGATTTTTTTCCTTTTATAAGCGTATAGAAAGTCACAATCTTGTTTATTTTTTAAATTCGCTACCCCTTTAAATCATGTTTTACCGCATTACACTTTATCACTGCATTGGTTGCATCCATTACTCTGTGTACTGTTCATTTGGAAAATAGGAGGTGTAGAGGCTTGTAAAGGGGGTGGAACCTTGTCAGTGGAAGATGTGACACCACCGCTTCTGAAGTTGAATCCCGATTCTCCGTATCCAGCTACCGGTGATAGGGCGGGTAGTGTGGCAGCTACGGCAGCTGCAGCAGCTGCAGCTGGTGGTAAAGGTACCCCCGCTTGATTCATATAAGCTATGATCCTACGCATCTCTTCCAATGCATTTGCTTGCATCAGTATATAGTTCTTGGCTAGGAGAAGGGTTGCAATTTTGGATAACTTTCGTACAGATGGCGAATGGGCATAGGGTATAACGGCTCTGAGTTCGTCTAGGGCATCGTTCAGGTCGTGCATACGTCTTCTTTCTCTAGCATTGATGCAAAGACGGACGGATTTTGCGTGTCTTGACTTTTTACCTGTGCACGATTCGGTCGTGTCCGGATAACTTTCGTTTCTTCCATCGAATTTACTTGTTATTGCGTTTACATCTGGAAGAATGAAAGAGAATTCAATCAGGGACGTTTCTATCACGTCTTAACGTCAAGTCAATTGCTTTATGTAGTCATTTAAAGCTTGATTAAATATAAAATATTCTAAATTCCAAGTTAGGAAGTTCGGGAGGAACAATAACACATTTCTAACAATTTTATTTATTAAATTCTCTGTTAAAACACATTCCCAAATCATTATAAACATGATTGTGATCCATCGAGGTTATGACCATTTACGTGTATATAAATATATATACGATCTATTTTTAAGCTATTTACACAGGTAATTTTATAAATTTCTTTATTTTAGATCCGTTTAAGTATTAGAAAGACGTTTTAGATCTTTATAGTTTTAGTATTAGTTAAGTTGGCGATCAACTATCGAATGGTTCTATATGCGAATTTTGATGTGAGCTAGATAAGTACGTGGACCTTTTTCTCTCCCCTATTTAGTTCCCAAAATTCTCTTCTTAGGTCCCATCATTCCAGTTAACGAGGGTAGATAAGTTGGATTCGTCTTCTCTTATCTCTCTTCGCATAGGCCCTATCAAGTCCATTCCATCATCAGGAGCATCCTCTTTTCATGGAGTGGCCGTTCAGGATCTTTTTTCTCCTCCATCCCAACCAATCGTATGACAGTGATTCGGATGGTCGTTTTACTTCCGGGCAATTTGACCCTTCTTCCTATTGTATAGACTTCAGTGATACAAAAAAATCTTTCTATATATATATATATATATATACGTATATACACTTTTTTGTTGGTTTGTAAAGGTGTAAAAGGTGTCATTTTTTTGGATTGAAGTAGCTAGGAAAGTGCTTTTTTTTAAAGATATTTGTGGATAAATTGAGATTTTCTTTATATTTATTAAATGTCAGGCCTTTATTTATTGTTTAGTGACGTGTATAGCCTTTAAATTAAGGTCATAGCATTGTCTTAGTCAATTGAAAGTCTAGGCTAAATTTTGANTTGGTTAAAGAGAGTTGGCCTAAGTTATCCTTTATAAAATTTTATTAACATTTTTATTATAAATAAATAAAATATATATAAATAATTAAATTTTCTATTGTTAGTTTAGAATATAATTAATAAATCCGAGTAAAGAAAAGTTAGAAAATTGAGTAAAATTTCAAAGAAAACGATAAAAGAAAAGACTGATGCGATTTTGGCCTAAGTTCTGAAGGATTTTTTTAACCTAAAAAAAGGAATTTGATTGTCCGAGATAATTTAATAATTTAGAAAAATAAATAAAGAAGATAATAATTTAAGGAATTTATGTTATTTTCTATAATAAATCTAAAATAAGTATCTTAATAGACAAGATACTTTCTTTTAGTGATAACTTATAAAATTACGTATTATTTCCGTACTTTTTATATCAGGATAATTTCATTACTGATTTATCCAGGATAAAATAACATTACGGAAACATTTTATCTTGTTATATACTTAAAAATAAAGCCAAGCTTAAAATATTTTGAATAAATTGTCCCGGATAAGAATTTTAACATAACTCTATATCTCGTATTTAACAACCTATAGGCTAGATTTATAAGTAATATTCACCTATATAATGTCATAATTATATGGCTAAATATCCCTATATATCTAGAACTTATAGGGCTAAATTGAGAGAGAGAAGTGTGCTCTTTATGGTGATTTATATGAAGAAACGGTTTTATATAATGTAATATTAAGCATTTTACGATTAAACTTTTCTCTTATATTTGATTTAATTCAATAAAGTGACATGAAAATTAAATGTTTATCTAAATTAAGTTCGATTAAATTAAATTATATTGATAGAAAATCTTACATTTACACATAAACTAGCAAAAAATCGTGCCAAAATTCGTGGAGAAGATGCTCTTTTACTTCTGTAAAAAATAGAGAATTATTTTATATAATTTTTTTTATTAATTTAAAAAGAAAATGAGGAAGAAGACAAAAATAAATGATGTAAAATAACACAGTTTGTGGTCCGTCAAATAGCGAAAATACTTTGAAAGAGTGGGAGAAACTTTAGTTAAAATAGGAGGAGATTCATCTTCAGAGATCTGACAAAAGCATCATCATAAATCTCTTTCATTTATCATTTTTATAGATTAAATGGTTACTTTTTTCAATTTCTAGGGTTTTCTCATGAGAAATATTTCAAATTTTTCCACGAGAAAAACCCTAAAATTTGAAAAGAAGCATTTAATCTAGAGAAATGATACTAGAAGATCTATATTTTGACATTGTTGTTAACAACTTAACGAATTCGCATTGAAAACTTTAATGCCTGAGGTCCAAATTAACGTGCCTAAAGAATGAGGGCACCATTTAGTAGGCCTCATCAGAGGCTTCGATTTACAGAGAATAAGAAATTGAGGCATCATTAAGAAAGCTCGTTTAACGGAAGCAAATAAAATGAGCTCGCATCAAGGCTTTAATTAACCGGGCATAACGAATGAAGCCCCCAATTACAGCATATAGCTTAATTTATTACAGAGAACGATTAAAGGAACACAATAAGCTTCAATTAATGGGTTTAACAAGAGGCATCATCGACTAGGGGCCTTATCAGAAGCCTCTATAGAACATAATAAATTGGGCCATCGTTAAGATCTTTATTAAAGGGCCGTATGAAAAAAGAAAATTATGAAATTAAAAAAGCTTAAAATACGTTATAAATGCCTGTTTTTATTTTCTAAAATAAGTAAAAAAAATTATTATTTTAGAAAGTAGCGAGTGTTTTTCATTAAAATACCCGAGCAACTATAAAATTTCATTGGAAAATGATAGTAATAAAGAAGGTTGTAAACTGATCTATTAAAAGTCATTTTGTATCCTCAAAGTACTTTTTACGATCTTTAGCTTATTCTTCTTTAAATAAAATATTAAAAAATATCTGTCTTTTTTGTATTTCTGAGACGAAAGGCCTCCATTAATTAAGTTTACTTTGATGCTTTCCTCTTAATTATACCCTACATGGCCTCGATTTATTGGGCCTCATTCATCCAGGCCTTATTAATTGAGCCAATGATCATTAGTTTCTCATTTTATCATTAGTTTTTAATTATTAATGCCCGTTTTTTATTAATGGTCTCGTTAGTTAGGCCTATTAATCGAGGCCTTAATGTAATAATCCTTTAATTAAGCCTTCTAATACTAGCCTACTATTTTAGTCTCCAATGATGATGTTCACTTAATGATTCTCCAGTTACAAGGCTTTTGATGCGGTCCTTTAATTGATGCCTCATTCATCGGGCCCCATTAATTGAGACTTTAATGTCATAAATGTGATTTCCACGAAGCCCAATTAATTGTACTCTCAACTGTAAACTCTTTTTAACGGGCCTTATTAATGGAACTCACACAGCGTGCCTTATTAATCGAATCCTATTATTTGAGTCCCTGGTTGAGGCCTATTTATTTAACCCTATTAAATAAAGATCCATAATGATTATTCCAGAACAGTTTCAAACAAAACGATCTGAACTCATCTGGAATAGATCAATCCCTCAGCATCTAATTGAAGCAAAATTCAATTAGGGACCTAAACTAACTCTCCTATTCTCTTTCCTCCTTGATTAAATGTTACCGATTTTTCCTTCTAATTGATCCGACTCGATCAATTAACTTTACATCTCTTTAATTTCCTATTTTCTTCACTTATTTTTTTACTTCAGAACGATGCTTAGAATAATTAAAATCTAAGAAAGTATCGTTCTGGGATGCGGAGGACGTAAAGGATGCGAGGATGCTGAAGAGTATTCTTTAGAGAGAATAATGTTTATATCATTTTATACCATAAAAAATGAAAAATTTTATCTAAATTATATACATTTTATACTAATATAATTATGGATATACTATCTAATACGTTAAAACTTGAGAAGAATCGTGGATGTGATGCGGAAGATGTGGATGGGATGCGGAAGATGTGAAGGATTTATCATAGAAATCTTAATGTTTATAACAATTTAGGCCTTAAACCGAAACTAAACTGGGCCTTAATATGATTAATTTTTATGTAAATTATATAATTACAAGACTTAAAAGATGATTCATCTTAAATAAGTGCCATAGTTTCTTACTTAAGTTAGGAAAAATAATTGGTAATGTTAAGGATATATTTTTTGTATATCGTAATGTTAAGATCTTCGATTATAGTTTTTAACCAATTTCCCCAAAGTCGTTTGTCTCTTACGATGAAAGATAACGGGAGGAACCGAGTTAGATTCAATCGTGATGAGTCATAACGTGAGTATTATCGATGTCTAAGAGATTAATATGCGGTCAGATACGCTTTGATGAACCTTTTCTTCAATGATTATTTATGACTAAATGATAAAATAAAAAAAAGAAATTTTGTATACGATGAGAATTTCAGTGCCGGAGTGTAATTTCGTAATGAAAAAGCTTAAAATTCTCTCATAAATTTAAGAGATAATCGAGTTTCGTTACGTTCCCCGACGTGAAAACTCATTATATGAAAAGTTTAACTAATAAAATTTTATATATTTTTAATATATTTTGAAACCAAATCTACTTTATAGTATTTTAGTAACTGATAATTACTTGTTAAACCATAAATATTAAGTTTTTCTCAGCGAGAAGTAAAGTAAAATGGCCTTTTTTTCCCCTCCTCCACCGAAAGATGCGACCGCTTTTAAGCTAGGAAAAGTAAGTTAATATCGGTATTAAGAGACATTTCGAGTGTATTAAACTACAGTAGAATGGATAAAGAAAAGGTTCGTATCATCAAACAATATTATTTTATCGTTTAATCAAGTAAAATCACTAAGAAACAAAGCAATGAAACAAAACACCCTCGAGCCTTTTCTCTTGTTTAATGGAGAAGGACATGTGTCAACTTATCACCAATGTGCACACGATACATTGATTGTCTAATGCTTTTATCTGCAGGTCATTGTAAACGGTTTGAGTGGTGAACGGCTCGATAACGTGTTCACCACATCACACTACCTGCACTCCTAGATTCGGCACGGATCTAAAAAGAAAAAAAAAGGGACAAAGTCAAACAATACAAATCGTTAATGCACGATTCTAAAACTACTCATTTGCATTGATCCACTGGCAAAAATAATGAATTTTTGAATACGTAGAGTACAACAAATGATTTAAATATTTTTACCAGAAGTAAAAATGGTATTTTCTTTATATAAAAATGGGATTTTTATACGTTTTTCTAAAGTTCTTCTACGTCTTTACTTATCCTTAGAAATGCCATCAATGGCTTCGGGGATGTTAAATTTCGTGTTTGTAGCTCAATGATGAGTCGTATTAAGAGATCGTAACTTATCTTTAAAGCTTAGAAGAATGAAGTGACAGGGTGCATCGGTAATTTACACTTTGGATTCAACTGTCGTATGATTCATTTATCACTTACTGTTATGATTTCTTTAGTATCTTTCATAATAAAAGATGAAAGATTGTATTAAAATCTTTAAAAAATATTTAAAAATTTAGGTTTAATTTTTATAAAATTAAGAAAACATTCTCAAAAAGGCAAATTTATATACTAATTTTCAGTAGTCAAAATAGAAAAGTCGCATCTTTAACCTTGGAATATGGTTTAAAATACGTAAATCTGCTATAAAAAACTACCTAAAATATAAAAATTTGATAGATAAATTATATATTTTGTTATAATAAATAAGAAAGAAGAGAAGACAAAGCTGTTTTTTCTCTCTTTCCGGATAAGAACCGAAGACATTGTCAACACTTTTTATAGGTCATCGGGACGAAACACGTTGGAAATTACACGTTGGGATGTAGGTTCGGTCCTTATCTGAGATAACACAGATTCTGGATGATTCATCCCTTTGGGTAAACATATGGCTTAGCCAGAAAGGCTGGTATTTATTCAGGGAAATAGGCTATAAGTTGCACGAATGACCTTTTCAAAAGTTAAATTAATGTCTAGGCTAGCTTAGTATATACTTAGATACGTATTAAACTTAACTAGGAAGGTATGCTTTAAGGTAATTGTCAATTATGAGGATATATTTAGGAATTTATAGCCTAATTTGATTAAAATACGGTTAATATCTTAATTTGTAGAGGTAGAAAGATACAAACCTGTATGCAAAGTCTGGGGTTCTTTGGGTGACATCTCGTCGTCCGTAGAAGCGGGTGGATGCTCGTCACCCGTATCGGGCCCGTCAGTGTTGCCAGCTTCACTAGGAGAAGAAGGAGATCCGCGGATGACGGGTCGAGGAGTTAAACGTCCGTTCTGAGGCGAAGGAGAACGACAGGAGTCGGGTAAGGGAGAAGTTCTCTGATCGACGATGCCACCTCTGTCAGACAAAATACCACCTAGAGGAAGCGAATAATCTGTCCTCAGGGTCATCATTCTAGGAATAGGCAAGCTCCTTTCTAACGGTAAAGTGGGAGGATATAAAGGATTGGGAATACTGTAATGGAATGTCGAAGGTGGTACAATGGGACGAAAAGATGCAGAAGTACAGTGAGTTTCCATAACGAAATTTTGTGTTACCCGGGTAGCCGGGATGTGTGGTAAATCTCGTGTGGTATCAGCGCTGCTGTTAGTTTCCTCCAATCAGAGGCAATGATGAGGGTGAAGTGGAGAGACGATGGCAGTTGCCGTGATATTTCGTCATTGGAAGCTGATTGGACGACTTCCATCCTGTCATCCCGTCTCTTCACTCTCCCATTTGTTGTCGTTTGTAAGGACAATGATTAGGCGGAGTTGGAAAACAAGAAAACTTTATATTTGCTTTTTGTTTTGTCCAAAAATTACTTTCATTTTATTCCAATCACCTTTCGAGATTTACTAGAAAATCTTTACATTTTTCATTTTAATTCATTTTAAATTATCAGAGGAACTAGAAAATGATCGTTTCTGTTATTTTATGGCGAAAAATCCTTTAATTTTAATAGAAATTCTTGTAATTCTTTGAAAGTTTCTCACTCTTCTAACCCTCTTATCGTCGTGCGAAGTATTTGTTAAGTAAATGGCTTAGTGTATCGAAGCAGAACCGTTCCTTTAGTAGGAGTGCAGGAAAACGGATGGATTGAGTAAAACAAAGAGAGTTCTAATCCAATTGGAGATCTCTTAATTGACACTTGCTAAAGTTGTCCTCTTTCTATAGTTACCGAGGGGATGAGACGGTTTCGCTCTTATTAGACGTGTCGTTTCTACACACCTCCTGCCATTCTCTGTCTTCTTTTTGCCATCTCATCTTGTTTTAAACGCATCTAAACCTGAAAAATAACCTTAAATGCCCAGTTAAAACACCGCATAAAGAAAAAAACAATTCGATCTCTTTCAATTGTATATATAAAAGGCCTAAAATGCTCATACTTTCTAGGCATTAGATTATATAGAAATAAGTAAATAGGCCTTGTAAATAGGCTCGGAAGGCATATTTATTATCTTATAATTGTGTTTTTTACGGCTCTAATCCGATTTATAGGAAGCAAGTCCGTAGTTTCCAGGCTTTTTCCTATATTTAGGCTATATTTTCCTATTTTAGAGCGATTTCTATAGATCCTACGTAAATATATATCTTTCTATAGGCCTTGTGAAATGTTTTAGGATTCTAAATGTCTTAAATTTTCCTACAGACTAACGGAAATAGGTCCTAAAAAGCGCTTTAATAAACCCCATAGGCCTAAAAGACAGTCTACAAATACAGTTTATTTAGGCTGTATATAAAAGCGGGACACGAGTTACAACATTTACACTAAATAAAATGCTCGAATCCTTTTACTAATTCAAAAATAAAAGAGAAGAATTGGACTTTAATTACGCGAAAGCATCATAAAAAAAGGGGAAAAAGAAGAAGTATATAAATATTTAAATGAGTAAATCGGTGGTGTATAAAGAGCATTCCATTGTATTTCCATAAAGAATAGATAGAAGACGAAGCAAGCGCTAAAAATATAGGAGCTAAAGTTGAATAATTTTGAAGTTTTTAGGAAATTGGATAAGAAGTATCCGGTTTTTATCTCTTTCGGAGAATTCTTTTTTGAGCAAATGGTATAAGAGACTCTTTAAAAAATCATTGTCAATTGAATTTAGAGACCCCGATCACGTTGTAAGGTCCTCTCTCTCTCTTTAGACATATAAATCTCCGAGTCGATCCTCTTCGATCGCCGGGATTAAGTTGGTGTTGATTAAATAGCGATTTGATCGAGTCGACCGAGATTTAACCGGTATTAGGGAAGGATTGAAGGAGAGTGTTCCGCTCGGATTCACTCCCCTCTTGTTCTTTACTTTGATACCTTTAAGTTCTTTCGTCGATTTCTTCTTAAAAATCTATTACTCGATACTTTACTTTCTCTTAAACCGTGCTTTATTTATATAATTAAAAATCTGCCGACAAAATTCCAACCCAAATATCTCAACGGGGTTCATTTTCTTCTTTTGTTTTTCCTTTGGAGATCGTTAGATCTAACTTTAGACCTTTGAAAATCTAACTTTTAACTGTGAGAAGGGGATTTGGGTATTTTTAATTCTTTGTAGAAAGAGAATTTCTGGTCTGACGTGGAAGAACTTTTGTTAGAGTAACGTAGAGGCGGCCTATTGACGCTGTCGTAGTTACGGTTGCAAGATTTAATGTCTTGTTTAAAGCTGCCAAATATTGACGTTTCGAGTCGGATTTCCGTTTGCTCGACATTTCCATATTTAAATTCGAGTTCTCGGCATTTCACGGTGACATTTCCTCTTTTTTACTATTATTCCTTCGTCCCCAGTGACGTAAAAATTGTTCGGTCTGCGGTAAAATTCGTTCTTCTACAGAATTTTTTATTCAAATCTTTCTTCTAGATAAAATAATACTAAATTATTCGCTATACCCAGCTTAAAAGTATCATTTACCTTCGGTTATATTAATTTTTTTTTTAATCACAAAGGCATTGTCTAGCAGAATCGGTATGAGGAACGTATATTTTTATTCTCGTGGATGTCCATTGTTAAATGGTAGGTTTTGCTTCGACCCCGATGTCTGGAGACCTTATAGATTAACAAAGTTGTAGAAAAACCAATCGACAAGATTCTTAACACGACCGTCGATCAACAATTACCCGTATGAACGAAAGAGAAAACAAATATCTTGGGACCAGTTGAAATTCGCTTAACAGTAACAGATGTAGGTCCAACACTGGGAGCCCCATTTTCACGCACCGACTACTACCCTTGGGTGGTCATGACAATAGGGGAACTGACATATGGATGGAGGGGACGGCAGCCGAGTTAAGTGGCTTCTACTATCCTAAATTAAAGGCACATTTACGGAGATGGGACCACCTGTTCTTCTTTCCTCCATTGTTGTCGACTTGTTTTTCGTTTGGATTAGAACCGATTTCGTTCATTCGACCGCCTCTGTTTGTTTAATTTAAACTTCGGTTAAGGGATAATCGTTTAAACTCGTCTTTAACCTTCTCCCCTACACCCTACCAAACTCTTAAAATTTCGTGAATTAACGTCACACTTTGTTGATTTATATAAAAAGATACAACTCGGTGTTTAAGTTGATGCATTTATTTATCTACTCGACCCCCGAAAAAAAAAACGTTCTGAGCGTTAAAAACTGGTTATTATTGGTTACCATCTGCTAGAGACTCCAAGGTTGCACCACGAAATTAAAGGGACGTTTTACAACGCAATGTGTCAGCGTGGGGTGGACCACCTGTTCTCTGCCCGAACTCTCGAAGGTGGCTAGCCACACTGGTTCTATTGTCATTTTGCATTATTAGATAGCATCCCTAGAGGGAAGGGAAATCTCTTCTTTAATCACTTTTGAATGGTGCCTGCACAATCACACTTACGAGTGTTCGGCGTTAAACACGAATTTAAACGGTTTCGTTATTAAAAAAAAAAAATGTATTGACTTCGCTATTTTCTACAATTAAATTATTGTAATAATTAAAAAAGCAGGATAATGTGGGAGCTACGAAAGGTGGTAGCCCGTTGCCATCGGCATTCCAAAGAAGATGGAGAGGGAAAAGGTACTGTACATAAAACATTTAATTAAAAACAAGATATTAGCGTAAGAACGAAGAGTCCATTTGGGAAAAAGTGAAGAAGCTAACGACAATTTAAAGACAACTGATGGTTGTTTATGACCCCGTGCTGGTGTTTACGACGTCGTTACAGTCTCGTCCACACAAAGGAGAAGGAGACATTTACGCAGTGACGAAGTAGATAATTACAAATTCTGATTTATAACATAATTTAATTAAAGCTGTTAAATCTCGTTAAGTTAAAACAACTGCGTTTAAATTAATTATACATAAAATATACGAATTTATTTCCTTCTTTAATTACTTAACTTAAATTATTTAAATTGTGTTTTCGTGAAAGTTAACGCGCGGATAAAGAGATTTAGACGATATGTTGACAGTACGTAATGCAAGAATGTAACAGATGGTGGCTACTGCACCCCTACAGGGTGCCGTCGACCGCACGCACTTTGCTTAGAGTATGCCCTACGATTTATATCTATTCAATGGAACCGAGGGGTGTTGCCCAAACACGTTTCGTCGCGTATATCGCCCAGGTAACAGATGTGGACAATAAATAGTCATGGCGACAATCTGACACGTTTAAACTACCGTCCTCCCCTTCTTACTCGCTTTTTTAATAATTAGACTAAAGGATTTTTTGTCTGCCACCACCGTCGACACGTTGATACGTGGCTAAACGATCTCACACTAAAAGCTACCGTTCTCTCTCCATCCTCGTGCTAAATAACTAAACAGTCATTTAACTGCATTATAATGATAGACAATTAAGCTCACAGCATTATATTTTAAACTGTTACCACAGCGTTGATAGGAATTTAAGTCTGATCCAAAGCTTACCCTCCTATCAACACTTGTATTTTCAATTGTAAGATGACTTTCTACATAAAATTTGAGTAAAAATAATAAATAGTTACGCATTATCCTCGATAAAACTTTAATATAAAGCCTATTTCGTTAACATAACTGATGCAATTTGTAGATAATTATACTCTAAAAACCATTAACTGTATAGATTGAGCTATAGAAGTACGGGATCGATAGAAAACGGACAAGTCGCCTACATTCTCGATTGTCTTCTCTAAACTCGTACCCTCCGGCGTATTATCTGTACAGTTTTGTACAGGATTCTACAAATATACAAACGTACAAAGATATATTTGCATACTTATAATGGAAAACGTCACGAGTACACCAGTATTTACACTCCTTCCATTTAACTGCGATAGTTAAATGATGTATCTCTACCCCCGTAACTTAATAAATTTACTATTAAACCGCTTACACTTCATAAAAATGCTTATAAAAAAGATTTAGCTGTATAAAAACTTATTTAAGACACGTGAAAACCATAGAGTAAGTCGTTACGAACTGATTTAATCCGGTATTAATAACACAAATCTTTAGATTTTCTAATATAAAACGATTGTTATTATTATTATTATTTACTTCTTAAGCTGATATTTCGAATAGAAATCAATTATATATTACTTCGCCAATCCTTTTTCAATTTATACGGGAATATTACTGTCATTCCGCGATATATTTTTATACAGAAACGTGTCGTACGTCTGGATAACTGTCCTTAGGGTAGGAATATCTTCTTTACAATCGAAGAAGCTTGCCAACTTGGCGAAAAATTTAGTCGAGGTCATTCACTTGTAATGCATTCAAATAGAAGATCTGTTCCACGTGCCTCGGG